AAACCCATTAAAAAAAAAAAGAAGAGTACATTAAATTATCAGAAAAAAAGTGATGGGGAGATATGGGAGGAGTTGGAGGGGAGGGAGTGGGCATGGATTTGATCAAAACACCTTATATGCATGTATGAAATTCTCAATAACATTTAAAAAAATAAAACGTTGAATATGTGTGTGTGTGCGTGTACATACGCATGCATGTGCCTGTGTATGCACACATTGTTACTTTTGATATGCCATGTATGATCAAAGTTGAAACTGATCAAGTAGGTGACATAGCTTTAAATTAGAAGTTATACCAAATTAAAGTAAATCAACATACAATTCATAATCCACATTTCAGTAATTTGTCTTCAACTAATCTGATAGGCCTGAACAAAATCTAACACTGTTCCTCCAGCTCATTCTGTAAATTCTATCTCCATGTTCATTTTGCTACCCAATATATCTTCTGCATCCCCAAATAGCATAGCACCTCTGTTCTTTTGGGGAGAAGAGGGAAATGCTACCATTTCCCTTCTTAAATAGATGTTTGGTTTCCATACAATATCCACATGCTTACACTGGCTCACTGGGCTGAATTCTAAATTGTAGCTTCAAACTTTGTGAAATAAGCAAACCTTAATTTTGGAAGTTCAATTTCTATGGGGTTATTTCAATGATAAAATTCTCCATAAGCTAAATTATGTTTGCAGTTGCAAAATATATACCTAAGCAAGCTATCTGCTTCCCATGAATATAATTCTCAGTATGAAGAAAGAGATGATTCTGTAGTCTAATAGTCAAGTGTTTTAAACAAGTAAAGCAGGAAGGCTGGCAGGAGCAGTTTGGATAATGCACAAGAAGACATGGAAGCCCATGAAGGGAGGCTCTGTGCTGGTGAGCTGTGTGTGTATGAGTTAATTCTTGAGTGGAAACAACTTAGAAACACAGAAACTGGGTTAAAAATGCCATACCTTGGGACTTGTGTTGTTCATCATTACAATTCTCTGCAAGCCTCTGAGCCAGAAAATGCTGTGATTTCTACATTAATTTTGGAGTTTATAATAGCACAGAGGTAACTACTAGAATGTTTTAACTACATATGAATTCTATGAAATTTTCCTAAGTAAATGTATTTTACATTTCTTAAGCTAAGAATTGGAGTCACTTTAGATAAAGCCAAAAGTAAGAGAAGTAAGGAGATCAACTCACTTGTCAAACTCAAAGAGATCACAACTCTGTAGTTTTTCAAGAGCAACTCGAAAGACTTCCACTAGAAGAGAAATGGAGCATTATGAAGAAAAGAACAATCATAGCTTCTTACACACACTATAAGTTATCTAGCTCCTTCTCTCATTAACCCATATCCAAGCAGTATGGCCACATTGACTTAATCACCAAAAAATTAGTGATATGTCTGCAATTTGCACATCGCTCAATAAGCACATTCAAAATAGCAAATGTTCTGAAATTGCCTTCCCCAAACCCAAAATGATGCTTAATATGAAAATAATCATGAAAAGTTATAAAATTTAGCAAGATCAAATGATTCTGATACTGGCATTAAAACAGAAATCAGTTAAGTTTAAAGCAATTAAATATTGTGTGTGTGTGTGTGTGTGTATGCATGTGTGTGTCTGTGTGACTGCATGCCACATGTGTGAATGCTCATAGTGGCCAAAAGAGGGCATTAGATTCCCTGGAGCTGAAGTTACAGGTGGTTGTGAGCTACTAGTGAGTGCTAGGAACTATTCTTCTGAAAGAACAGGAAGCACTCTTAATGGCTGAACTACGTCTACAGACCCCAGAAACTCCAATAAAGTTAAGCATGTGAGTGCATACGTCCCACAGTGTCAGAATAAAAGCAAGTGCAGTTTCTCTACCACCATAAAAAATAGAACAAAAACTTATTTTATCCTTTGATTCTATACTGCCTCAAAACCAGTGTTTATATTTAAATCTTCAATTACTCTCATCCCATCCCCAAATCCTATTCCCGATCACTAGGAAACAGAAAAATTAAAAGGCCTTAAAATTACATAAACATGTGATTCTCATCAAACACAACTCAAATTTATCAGGCAGAGTAAGAATAATACTACTGACTTGATTTCTTTATCCCATAGGGCATAGCAAACTTATTGTTTTCATGCATTCCTCCAAAGTCATCTGCACACAAAAATGGATGAAGCCCGTGAAACCTGGAAGGAAAAGGTAAAGCATGATCCTGTCAAATGCTACTATAGTTCCAGCCTTGTACAATCATGACAGAATTATGACAGCACATGATTTGTATTATACAAATATCATTTTAATTAAAAAAATCTTAAGGTAATATTTAAATGTTAGATAGAAGGGTCATGCAGTGAAACTATATGACACACTTTCCAGACACTAGAACTTAAATTATATCACAGTGGAGGTGAAAACAAAATTTTAAAACATCTCTACCTGACAAAGTGATAGCCAGGAAGAAACAAAGGAAGGAATGAAGGCATTGATCCTAAGCCATTCCTAAATTCAAAAGTGCCATATGTATGAGCTACATCAACTATAAGGAGAAAGATAAGCTAAAGGCAGATGGAGCTGAGAACTCTATCATAATGTCCATCAAGCCAAACTTTACCCAAGAACAAACATGGAAGGAATTGAAGGGGGACTGGGAAGGATGGAAATAATGCAAATATAATACTCAAATATGAAATGCTCAAAATTAAAAAATAAAATACATTTTAAAAATAATAAATGCTATTCTCTCCTACTGGAAAGACTGGAGGCTACAGAACAGATCCTGCTATGCTTTACCACGGCACGCGCGCACACACACACACACACACACACACACACACACACAGACACACAGTCTTTCCTGCTCCAGAGCTTTGTACCTAGACTAGAAACTGCAGGTGGAAGCTGGGACTTCACCTCATGAAGCATGATAAATGGAAATAAGCAGCAAGAGCCAGAGTGAAATGGTTGGAATCCTATCCAGGAAATGAGCCGAATTGCAAACTGACACTGTACTCAGGAGAAGGAAAAAAGGTAAGAGGTCAGTGTTCCCTGCCCCAGACATGACGTATGTCCTAGCCTCAGCCCTGATAAGTGACAGCAGCCTCACTTCTAACCTGCAACAGTCACTTCTAAATCAGTGTTGACCCCCAAGTCCAGGATCCACACTGGTAAGAGAAAGTGTCCAGTTATCTGTTTAAACTTGGAAGAAGACTTAAGAATTTTGTAGTCTTCCTGAGAAAAACAAACCCCAGATGACTGATCATCAATAAATGACTATTTTCTGGAGCTGGTCAGAGTGACAGCAATGGTGACTGCACACTAATGTATATTTCCAGTCTGACTCTATTATATACTAGGTGGCTTACATTTTATTTCTAAATAAAATAATTATTCGGCACAATGCCTCAGACAACTGAGAATTAATAAGCAATAACTTTGTGATGATTACGATATCACACTGTAAGATACAATCTATACATTATAATGTATTGTAGCACAATACTTTTCTACAACTGTTATTACTACCAAAGCTGGTTAAGGTAAGTAAAGTACACTAATCAATTTGGATGGAGAAGCCCCTGCTTGAAGAGGGAAGTAACTCTGGGGTCACTAGTCTACCAGTGACAGAGCTGCCAAAGGCATCCTCTGCACAGCACCGAGGTTTCTGAGCATGGCTCCTAGCTTTTCTCTCTTTTTGAGGCAGCAACATGTCTGGGGAGTGTCCTCAGAGAACACTGTTCACATGACAAATGAAAATCGACTTGTCCTTTAAATGACAGACTTAACATACTCACTGAGCAGTCTTATACAGATTATTTAACTTTAGAGGGGCACTCAAAAATTGTTTTATGCAATTAAACATGCCTAACCTAGACTGTCATTTATTTTTTATTATCTATAAGAATATGGCCCAATCTATGAAAATGGAGGTGCATGGGAAAGGAACATTGTAGATAGAAAAGTAAACTATAATTTCAGACAATGCAATGATCACTCACTATTCATTATCACATGTAGATTAATCATTATTTGAATCCTATGTAGTCTTCAAAAGTTAATAAAGATCAGGGAAATTCTCTAATAATAAGGTTTAAAATTTAAGCAAGGGGGATGAAACCAGAAAATAATAAGAGTGAAAAATAGAATTGGAAGAAGGATGGGAAAATAAGACCTCAAAGAACAGTTCCCTTTTTTGATCAAACACAAATAGGCCTCTCCAATCTCACCTGTGTGAAAAGAATACTGGTTTCAATGCCTTTCCTTAAAATACATTCAGAGTCCTCACTAAAAGCATAAACAGGCTACTCGAACTCATCTTTATATGCAGTGTTCACTACACACTGCTAAGATTGGTATGAAAGAGGAAAATGAGTATGGAAATGAGCAGAAATACATTCTGTACATGTTGTATGGCTACAGTGTTTATTTTTATTTATTTATTTATTTTTTACCTCTGGAGAGAGGCAAAAGCTGGCTTTAATAAACAAGGCTGGACCTTGCTTCTCCACTTCATTTCCACAGGTAGTGACCTAGGAGAGACACAGTGCTGATGAGAAACCAGAACCAGGAAGCCTGTCCAAAAAGAAGCCCAGACCCCAGGAACTCACTCTGTACCAGCACCAATAGGCTTCTAAAGCAGAAGACAAAAATCTCCCCTACCCCCACAGCCCTGAGGTTTGAGAGAGCCTTCTCCAAATCCTATACCTACTTAGGGCTTCATGAGTGACAGGCAACGGAGAGTGGGAAAGGTCACAGTGACTAGTGACCTGAGGTGACTGGGAAAGCAGTGATTCATAGGGATCTCAGGGTGGGATTACCACACTGTCGAAGCCTAAATGACACTCCAGTTTCAGAAGCCCTCAAAGGCCTGAGAAACCAAAGTCACCCCAAGTGCCATGTAATTTTCATCCCCCATGCCACATGTGGGAACATCTAGTGACAGCAAGCACAGCAGAAACACCTGACTGAGCAGGTTCCACAAACCTTTGCCTTGAAACCCTGGATGCCACAAATCATACCACTGAGCTGTATAGCACTCTCTTGGTTCTTGGCACAGGTTGGGCCCCTGTGTGGCTGCTGAATGAAGTGCTTGTCTCCAGAACTTAAAAGGACATTGTAAAACAGGACACAGCACAACAAAAGTAAGGGGGGGGGGAGTAGGGGGTAAGCAGTAGGAGAAGAAAGCCCAGGAAGAGGAAAACAGCTTCACACAACAGCTCATCGATAATCAGTTATATGAAGAACTGGTATTTTAAAAATTAAAGTGACAGACTAAGAAAAGTAATAAATAAAATATTGTTTTCTTCTTATTAGTAGGATTCAAACTGAATAGATTGAACTCTTTGCAAACAAATAATTTTCAATTTTTTTAATATAAAATCTCCATACTTAGAACTATGAGGTTCTTGAACTAAGGCATTTAAAGTCCTTATGTAGGAAGACATCTGTAGTAGTTTGAGAAATTTCTCCCATAGACTCAAGTATTTTAACATATGGTATATGGTCCCTAGTTCGTAGCACTGTTTGGGGAAGGTCATGGAAGCTTTAGGACGTGTGGCTTTGTTCAAGGAAGCATGTCACTGGGGATGGGCTTTGATAGTTTAGAGCCTCGTCCCATCCCATTTCCAGCCTATCCTCTTCATCCTACGAGTGGTTGAAGATGTGAGCACTCTGCATTCTGCACTGGCCTCCTCTGCCACCATGCTTCCCCACCATGATGGACTCTTCCCTCTGGAACCCTAAGCCCAAATAAACTCTTCCTTCTATAAGTTTCCTTGGTCATGGAGTTTCATCACAGCAATAGAAAAGGAACAAATACAAAATCTTTTGGGAATATTACACACAGAAAACACCCCTTGGTTTATATGTAGTGATAACATAAATATATGGTGGACTAGCACATGAAGTTGCAAACACTGAGTTATATTCAGAGGGCAACATGAGCTATATTATTTAATTTCTAAAGTCATTAGAAATCTGAAAGCAACACGAAGAAAATGAATTACTGTTTTAGAATATTAGGAAGACAAACTTTGGATGGCTTTGAAAACAAAACACAAAGGTAGATCTCTCACCCAAACTCAAAGTCACTGATACGGCTAGTCTTATGAGCTAGCTTACTCTGAAGATCCCTTGTCTCTGCTAAAATTACAGGTGAGCTGGGTATACCCATCTTGCATTTACATGGATTTTCTGGATCTGGACTCTGGTCCTCTTGCTTACATGGCAAGCACTTTAACTAATGAGCCACCAAACCCAGCCATGTTGTCCTTGGCTTTTTTGTTGTTGTTGTTTGTTTTTCTTTGTTTATGTATATTTGTGTAGGCCAGCGGATAACTGGGGTATGGTTCCTCCTCTGATGCCACCTGCATTATTGTCTGAGACAGGGTCTCTCACTGGACCCAGGGCTTACCAGTGCAGCTAGGCTGGCTGTTCCTGGAGTGCTACCACACCTGGCTTTTTAGGTCAGTGCTAGGAATCAAACTCGGGTCTTCCCTCATGCTTGTGTAGCAAAAATTTACCAACCTAGCCATTTATCCAGCCCTTTTAACTATCTCCGCAGGCCCCTTAAACAGTTTTAATGTAAGGAAGAAAGCTCATGGTGCACACACACACTGGAGGTAATTTGTGTAATTTGCCAGGGTACTTTCAGCAACTAGTAATGATAGCTTAGTTTGGACACTCCTCAAATTCCAATGGCAAAAGACTGTGCTGAATTCAAATCCTTTTTATCTTCTCTATCAGTTCCCCTCTGATAAACAGGATTTATAAGTACTGTGATGGTTAATCTTGATTGCCAATTTCATGGGATCTGGAATCAACTAAGAGATGTGCCTCTGGGTAGGTCTAAGAGGGTATTCCCTGGAAGGATTAACTGAGGGGATAAGGCCCTACCCTAAAGTGGGTGACACCTTCTGGCAATAACTCAGATATAAAGAGGTCAGAGGAAAAAGCAATGTAGCCTGCCTGCCTTCCCTTCCTGCTTGTGTATGTATCTATACTTTGCTAACATCAAACTCCAGTTTCTCCTACCTTCCAAAGTGAAATGAAGACAAGAGACTTAAAAGGAATCTTTCAGTGCAAAATTGGGACTGCTGAGACATTCGACATTTGGGGGCTGAGCAACTATCATGTTCTCAGCCTCTCCAGCTTACAAATAACCACTGTTGGACTATCCAGCCTCTCTCACGGAAGTCATTTTCATAATATGATGTATCGATCTATCTATATATCATCTATCTATAGATCCATCTATCTATCTCCCCTAAGGGTCTTGTTCCTTTAAAGAACCCTGCCTATTACAAATAGTTATATAAATAGTAATCTAAGCTAGCCAGATGTGGTGGCACATGCCTTTAATCTCAGCACTCAGAAGGCAGAAGCCTGTGGATCTCTGTGAATTCAAGGCCAGTCTGGTCTACATAGTGAGTTCCAGGCTAGCCGGGGATACATAATGAGACCCTATCTCAAAAAAAAAAAAAAGAAGACAAATAGTAATCTAATAAGTTTTTTGCTTTCCTCTTACCTTCCACCTTTAGGTGTGGAATGCAAGAAGGTGGCAGAGATGGAGAAACAGACCTCTGTGGAATAATTCTCTTTGGATGCATAATCAGATATCAGAGTTCTAGCCCAGCATTTAGATCCCATGGCTAAAACTTTAAGGCCAAACCCATCCATCTGACTGGGTTTTTCTCCCAGTAGCATTTACCTAACTTTATTTCATGAAAAAGCATTATAAAATTCTTCATTGATGAAATTCAGTGCAGAAACATGACATTTTTTTGTAGCTAGAAACAATCTAGAATCTATTGAAATCTGACAAAATACTGATATTTGTCTAAGACAGGAAGTTATCATGCAATTTATTTTGATTTAATTGTGTACTGCCATTTGTTTAGTATTTAAAGGACATCAAAACTTTGTTCTTAGTCAAAGGACTGAAAATGGGGAGAAGTGTTAAAAACACACTATAGAATACATTTCCTCTGCAGTAAAATTATCTTTCCTCACAAAGTTTTAAAAGTATTTTATTTCAACTGTATTTCAAAACATATATACCATAAAATATTTTTAAACAAAGGAAACTCTATGTGATATGTATATATTACCAATAACAATCTAAAACTCAAAGGCCACTGAGTCCACGAATTGCTCCACTAATCCAAGGAAATTAATATTCTGTCCCAAACAGTCAACAGTACTGCTTCACTAGGCATGAATATGAAATATGTAAGAAATAGGATTTTAGTTTTTTAAAACTGTGTGGTGTGTGTGTGGTGTATATTTGTATACTGTCTGTGACTATTCTCTTGAGACAAAGTTTCTCATTGAACCTAGAGCTGTTTGTTGGCCAGGCTGGCTGTCCAGTAAGCCCAAGTAATCCTGTTTCCACTGCCCCCCTTCCCCAGTGCAAGTGACAGATGCATGTAGTTATGCCAGGCTTTTACATGGTTTCTGGGCAAGCACCTTACCCACCGAGTGATCTCCTCAGCCCTACTCAATGGTTTTAAATTGTTAGAGAATCAATCTACGGCATACTGGAATGGTGAGATCCCAGTGTATAATGGAAGTCCAGAAAAGATTCAACATGCTAGAATGTCATTTGGAAGGATTATTTTAGCTAGGTCCCTCTAATATCATTTGTGTGTAAAAAGACCAGTTCGAAAGAAATGTGCAAGTAGTGAAAATGAAACTTACCCATAGCCATTTGTTCCCCACAAGATACAATGCAGCACATAATAGAGGAAGACAGCACTCAAACATATGGCGATGAGGTATCCTCTCATGGCTGGCCTGCCTGAAATGGAATCCAAAGAGAAGAGAGGGTTATTCAGACAGGTTTCCAACATGGCCCAAATATGCTCATTAGTAAATAACTTTTTTTTTTGTCTTTTTGAGACAGGGTCTCCCTGTAGTCCCAGCTTTCCTGGAACTCACTATGTAGACCAGGCTGGCCTTGAACTCACAGAGATCCGCCTGCCTCTGCCACCCAAGTGCTGGGACTACAGGCGTGTGCCACCACGCCCGGCTCATAAATAACTTTTTTAAAAAAATGAGCAGAGCAAGTTCATCTACTCAGGTCTAGTCAGCCTATCTAGAGTCCCTTGCTTTAGGAAAATCAGCTCTTCCTCACCCAGAAGGAATGGTAGAGGCCTATAATACTGAAAATGCTCAGTGAATGTGCAGAAAGAACTCTTTTTTTTATTTTCCTCAGTAATTAACACCTGATGCATGTTTAGACCAATAGTTCTATGGTATCAAAGCTAGGGACTTCTCTATGACTTTTTCATGTTAGGTAAAAAGTAAAAGCTTTAAGAAAAAAAATTATATATTTTCATACCCAAGATCTTTCTTCAAAACAGTGAAGAATATCTATTTCTTATCCTTCTCAATAAAGAGTGAACATGTACCTCAGGACATGAATAAACACTTCACTAGATATATTAGATATAAAAGTTTTAGAGTCCTTCCAATTTGAAAGAAAAAAGAATCTGTTAAAATATCTCATATACCCTCAATTTTTATACCCTTTTAGATGTACATATTTGGCTTTTTAATATCATAGCATAGATATATGTGGTTTTGTTTGTTTTGCATTAAGTTAACGCACATTTGTGGACAGAAAAAATCTTGTCTAGAATGTAAACATATACACACACACAAAAATTTTACTGAATATAAAAAGTATCAACATTTGACACATGTTTGTGTGGTAACCCTGCCCTTCACTTCAAACAGGAAAAACAGAAATGGAAAAACTCCTGCTTTAATAAGTAATTAAATGCAAAAGGCAAACTTAATATATGGTTCTGTAATTGACATTTTAGTTCAGTGCTTCTGACTTTAAGTGAATATATATATATATATATATTTCCCCCTTCTTATCAAGTTTCCAGCTCATCTAAACTGCATTTATTATTACTTCTCACCCAGAACTATAAACCTCAACCCAGGTAAGGCAGTATAGAAAGTAAGAGGCAGGTTGAATACATTTCCAAATAATGTAACACTTACCCATTCTACAGGAAAATAAGTTCAAGTGGAAATAAACTTAAATTTTATTATCTTTTTTTTGTATGTGCATGTTCATGTGTATAGGTACAGATGTATGCATATGTGTGTGGAGCTCAAAGGACAGCCTTTTCAGGTGCTGCTCACTTTGCCTTTTGAGACAGCATCTCTCACCGGCCTGGTTAATCTAGAGTGGCTCATCAGAGAGCCCTGGAGACCTTCCTGCCATTGCTTTCCCAGCACTGGGATTTTAAGTGCATGCCACCATGCCTAGATTTTGTGCATGGGTTTTGGGGATCAGAGTCAGGTCCTCATGCTTCTATGGCAAGCACTTTACTGACTAAGCTATCCTCCTAACTCCCAGCTTAAGACACTTTTTTGTCTTTGTAAATGGAACACTCTAAACAAAGTTGAAGGTTTTTTTCTTGATAAAAAAGGATCTTAATAAGTATCATAATTGTGCTGGGCTTCTCAGTTCAGACTCTCTGGTGCTAATAATAACTTTTGGCTATTTGCAGAGCAGTCCTAAACTGATGTGGCTATCTGGCTGAGCATGCTTGTCAGGTCTCTCTGACTGTCACTCTTCTTTGACTGTCAACTATTGATCTGTGTAGCCACTACTCCCACATACCAGCATAATTTAGTTTGAAATGAAGACTGTGTCAAGAGAAGGAAAATAAACAGGCAAGTTAAATGGGTAAATTTTAGTTTGTACACACTTGTAATCGAGTAGGCATAATTCCTGTGAAATGACATGACCCACAGCCCAACTCCACCTGAGGCTTGGGGGCCTTGGGTCAGTTTGCTTCATGCAGCTGGAGTGCCCACACATGTCTACAAGCAAGAGCACACCCCCAATCTTGCCAGATTGTCACACTGACCAGACAGCAACTGAACATAGTCTAATGTAGTCTCTAAACAATTTGCTTAAATGCTCAAACCAAGCATTTAGGTTTCTACCCAGAATAACACACTTTATGTAAATATCTAACAAGGATATAGCTTAACCAGTATCAGCAATTTTTTTTTTAGAAAACATATTTATTTCTAAAGTAAAACAACACATAAGGGCCCTAGAATAAGATGTCAGTATTTACCACTCAATTTGCTAATCTATTCCTGAAAACATAATCTCTATGCAATTTGTATAGTATTTTAGAGATTATGAAGTTGTAGGTAAGTGAGAATCTGTTGTTTTTCATTGCCTAATATGTGGTTTAACTGAAAACAAAGAAGTGTGAGAGAATGTTCTTTTTTTATGCCAAAAAGTAAAATAAACTTGCTTTTGAAGAGCCACTGCACACAGCACCTGTAAAAAACCTGAGGAAGTTTAGGCACTCTCTAGTATTTCATGGCCAGTTTAAAGCTTTGATATTTAAGGTGCAAATTAGACCAGGGCCAACCAGGATATCCTTGTGATAAACACATATGGCCCTTCTGCTTGCTCGCAGGAAAAAGCTTCCACAAATAAACTAATTGTCTAATTACAATTCTGTAAACAGAATGACCATTTCACTTTGTCCAAAAGCATCAAAGGAAAACAACTTGGGATTTAATATAGGAGTTGTAATTTTGAAAAGACATATAGGAATACAGCATCTATTACCAAAGCAAAGACGCTTTAAAATCTTGACATTAACCATGACTGATATCAAATTTTGAAATGTTGAACCTCAAACCAGGTTGTAACAAAGCCATTGATCCTCTAGCATGTAGGCCACAGGCATTAAGAACAGAACTCATCCAGAGGCCAGCCTGTGATCTCTTCTCAGAGCATGAAGAATTTGCTAAAAAAAAAATGGCAACAGTTTGGGCTGGAGAGATGGCTTAGTCAGTAAAGTGCTTGCTGTATAAACATGAGGACCTGAGTTATGATCCCCACAATAAAAACAGGGTGTAGCTGTATGTCTGTAACCAGCATTGGGTCGGGGAGGGAGGAACAGGCAGATTCCTGGAGCTCACTGACAAGCTAGTACAACCAAATAAACAAATGAATTCCAGGTTCAGTGAGAAACTTGTCTCAAAAAATAAAGTGGAGGGGTTGGGGATTTAGCTCAGTGGTAGCAAGCGCAAGGCCCTGGGTTTGGTCCTCAGTTCAGAAAATAAATAAATAAATAAATAAATAAATAAATAAATAAATAAATAAATAAATAAATAAATAAAAAGTAAGTAAATAAATGTGGAAAGTCATTGAGAAAGATGCCTGATTGTTGACCTCTGGCCTACACACACACACACACACACACACTTTACAAAAAATTCAACAGTTTCCCCCCCTTCAGTAACAAAAGTATGTATTTTTGTATTGAACTTCAAAGTTCATGAATAGCCTGTAAGTCCATCATGTCATGCTAGGGTCACAAGCTTGCTAAATGGGCATGTATGATCCCTTGATGAGTCAGGAAAGTCAAGGTTTCTAAAACTAAGTTGTCTCAGATCAAATAATTCAAGAGAATCAGAAGGAGACTTAGTCTATTCACTTCTTAGTATTCTCGTCCTGGTGTCATCCTGTCATCTCAAGATAAAAGGCATGAGGGGAACCAAAAGAGAGACTGCTAATCTAAAACTTCTTTATAGTGGTCTGTTGGCCTAGACTTTTGGAAGGGAAAGTCTAGATAACAATGAAAGGGCAGTAACCAAGAGTCAGCACCAGATAGGCCAGGGTGGGGTGGGAGGTACATTAACAAGTCAACACTCGAGCTTGGGGTTCTTAATGAAAACAAAGTTTTGAGAATCCCTGTTCTGAGATATACTACAGAACAATGGAGCAGAAAAAAATAAATGAATAAATAATAAATAAATAAAATTTAAAAAATAAAAATAAATAAATAAATGGTTTTCTGAAGTACAGAGACCATAACAGATATTACAGAGGGTGTCCCTGTATAACTGCAAGTGGCATGAAAGGAGGTACTGTCTTTCCTATCACTTTATTCCCAGTACAGGCCTGTCATACAGAAACTGCTAAGCAGATGGTGATTGAATGTTCTTACACATACCAGAACTCTGCTCTGTATTAATTTTTTATCCTACTTTCCCACAAATGGCACTTGCCCAAGAAACAGTATCGATTTGAATTCACTGAGAACACAGTAGGAACACAGCATGCGCCAAGCATCTGGAAAAGGCTTTTGGTGTGCTACTTCATGTTACCTCATAATCACCCTGTGAGGAAGTGGAAAACTTCCTGAAGTGCAGAGAGGAACATTACATTTTTGACCTGACACAAATTTAGTCCTGGAGCAGAACCAGGACTCAAACTATATTTATCATACCAGAATCCCAGTATGCACTCTCTGCTCAGGGGCAAGTCTTTACAAAAGAGCAGTTTCCACCCTTTAGATACCAGATTAAACATTACAGACTATTTCTCTAATTGTCAATTCCACCCACTTCTTAAACTGTATCAATTCAATATCAATTCATAAAATAGAAAATTCATAGTCTTTTGATGTAAATTCTGCTGAAATAAAACCTTATTACTTCAACTCTATTTGTTTCAACCTCCCCCCACCCCACCTGTGCTATTGCTCATAAAAACAAAGCAAACCCTAAAAAATGGCACTTGGAAATGCCCATATTTTCTTTTATTTTCAGGTCCTCCTAATGCTTTCTCTAGCCCAAGGGAGCTTGCTTATCTAAACAAGTAGAAAGAAGGCAGGTCCAGCAACAATTATGAAAAGTGTCCTACTCACCAAGCACAAAAACTCTGGGGTATCTCAATATCACACAATAGCATGTTAGAAACAGCCTTGGTGTTCGCTTTTTCAGTGTTGAGTATTCACA